CTTGGGGAAAATGTTCAGTCACTTGTCCAGCTCCTGGAGGCTGTTCTGCTCTACTTCTCAGTCAACACTGACCGTGAGAGTAAGCTCTCCTGCTTTTAATGGATGGGGGAACGAGCCTTCACTGATCCATCCTCTGAATGACTTCTGTGGGTTTACTGCTTCACATAAATATACAGTAATAAATATAGGTGAAACAAAGCTGAAGGGGGTGGGCGAGTTTCAATGGAGAGGAATAAATGGGATTAGGTCAGGGGTTTCAAATAGAGTTAGAGCTAAAGAAGGAGTAGCAATAATATTGAAGGATAAGCTATGGCAGGAAAAGAGGGACTACAAATGTATAAATTCAAGGATTATGTGGAGTAAAATAAAGATTGGATGTGAAAAGTGGGTTATAGTAAGCGTGTATGCACCTGGAGAAGAGAGAAGTGTAGAGGAGAGAGAGAGAGAGAGATTCTGGGAAATGTTGAGTGAATGCGTGGGGAGTTTTGAATCAAGTGTGAGAGTAATGGTGGTTGGGGATTTCAATGCTAAAGTGGGTAAAAATGTTATGGAGGGAGTAGTAGGTAAATTTGGGGTGCCAGGGGTAAATGTAAATGGGGAGCCTTTAATTGAGCTATGTGTAGAAAGAAATTTGGTAATAAGTAATACATATTTTATGAAAAAGAGGATAAATAAATATACAAGGTATGATGTAGCACGTAATGAAAGTAGTTTGTTAGATTATGTATTGGTGGATAAAAGGTTGATGGGTAGGCTCCAGGATGTACATGTTTATAGAGGGGCAACTGATATATCGGATCATTATTTAGTTGTAGCTACAGTTAGAATAAGAGGTAGATGGGAAAAGAGGAAGGTGGCAACAACAAGTAAGAGGGAGGTGAAAGTGTATAAACTAAGGGAGGAGGAAGTTCGGGCGAGATATAAGCGACTATTGGCAGAAAGGTGGGCTAGTGCAAAGATGAGTAGTGGGGGCTTGAAGAGGGTTGGAATAGTTTTACAAATGCGGTATTAGAATGTGGGGCAGAAGTTATAGGAGGGTGGGGGTAGGAGGAAAGAGGAGTGATTGGTGGAATGATGAAGTAAAGGGTGTGATAAAAGAGAAAAAGGTAGCTTACGAGAGGTTTTTACAAAGCAGAAGTGTTATAAGAAGAGCAGAGTATATGGAGAGTAAAAGAAAGGTGAAGAGAGTGGTGAGAGAGTGCAAAAGGAGAGCAGATGAAAGAGTGGGAGAGGCACTGTCAAGAAATTTTAATGAAAATAAGAAAAAATTTTGGAGTGAGTTAAACAAGTTAAGAAAGCCTAGGAAAGTATGGATTTGTCAGTTAAAAACAGAGTAGGGGAGTTAGTAGATGGGGAGAGGGAGGTATTAGGTAGATGGTGAGAATATTTTGAGGAACTTTTAAATGTTGAGGGCTGTATAGTCCTTGTGGCTTAGCGCTTCTTTTTGATTATAATAATAATTTAAATGTTGAGGAAGAAAGGGAGGCGGTAATTTCATGCACTGGCCAGGGAGGTATACCATCTTTTAGGAGTGAAGAAGAGCAGAATGTAAGTGTGGTGGAGGTACGTGAGGCATTACGTAGAATGAAAGGGGGTAAAGCAGCTGGAACTGATTGGATCATGACAGAAATGTTAAAAGCAGGGGGGGATATAGTGTTGGAGTGGTTGGTACTTTTGTTTAATAAATGTATGAAAGAGGGGAAGGTACCTAGGGATTGGCAGAGAGCATGTATAGTCCCTTTATATAAAGGGAAGGGGGACAAAAGAGATTGTAAAAATTATAGAGGAATAAGTTTACTGAGTATACCAGGAAAAGTATGCGGTAGGGTTATAATTGAAAGAATTAGAGGTAAGACAGAATGTAGGATTGCGGATGAGCAAGGAGGCTTCAGAGTGGGTAGGGGATGTGTAGATCAAGTGTTTACATTGAAGCATATATGTGAACAGTATTTAGATAAAGGTAGGGAAGTTTTTATTGCATTTATGGATTTAGAAAAGTCATATGATAGAGTGGATAGGGGAGCAATGTGGCAGATGTTGCAAGTACAGTGGACCCCCGCATAACGATCACCTCCGAATGCGACCAATTATGTAAGTGTATTTATGTAAGTGCATTTGTAAGTGTATGTTTGGGGGTCTGAAATGGACTAATCTACTTCACAATATTCCTTATGGGAACAAATTCGGTCAGTACTGGCACCTGAACATACTTCTGGAGTGAAAAAATATCGTTAACCGGGGGTCCACTGTATATGGAATAGGTGGTAAGTTACTAAATGCTGTAAAGAGCTTTTATGAGGATAGTGAGGCTCAGGTTAGGGTGTGTAGAAGAGAGGGAGACTACTTCCCTGTAAAAGTAGGTCTTAGACAGAGATGTGTAATGTCACCATGGTTGTTTAATATATTTATAGATGGGGTTGTAAAAGAAGTAAATGCTAGGGTGTTCGGGAGAGGGGTGGGATTAAATTATGGGGAATCAAATTCAAAATGGGAATTGACACAGTTACTTTTTGCTGATGATACTGTGCTTATGGGAGATTCTAAAGAAAAATTGCAAAGGTTAGTGGATGAGTTTGGGAATGTGTGTAAAGGTAGAAAGTTGAAAGTGAACATAGAAAAGAGTAAGGTGATGAGGGTATCAAATGATTTAGATAAAGAAAAATTGGATATCAAATTGGGGAGGAGTATGGAAGAAGTGAATGTTTTCAGATACTTGGGAGTTGACGTGTCGGTGGATGGATTTATGAAGGATGAGGTTAATCATAAAATTGATGAGGGAAAAAAGGTGAGTGGTGCATTGAGGTATATGTGGAGTCAAAAAATGTTATCTATGGAGGCAAAGAAGGGAATGTATGAAAGTATAGTAGTACCAACACTCTTATATGGATGTGAAGCTTGGGTGGTAAATGCAGCAGCGAGGAGACGGTTGGAGGCAGTGGAGATGTCCTGTCTAAGGGCAATGTGTGGTGTAAATATTATGCAGAAAATTCGGAGTGTGGAAATTAGGAGAAGGTGTGAAGTTAATAAAAGCATTAGTCAGAGGGCAGAAGAGGGGTTGTTGAGGTGGTTTGGTCATTTAGAGAGAATGGATGAAAGTAGAATGACATGGAAAGCATATAAATCTATAGGGGAAGGAAGGAGGGGTAGGGGTCGTCCTCGAAAGGGTTGGAAAGAGGGGGTAAAGGAGGTTTTGTGGGCGAGGGGCTTGGACTTCCAGCAAGCGTGCATGAGCGTGTTAGATAGGAGTGAATGGAGACGAATGATACTTGGGACCTGACGATCTGTTGGAGTGTGAGCAGGGTAATATTTAGTGAAGGGATTCAGGGAAACCAGTTATTTTCATATAGTCGGACTTGAGTCCTGGAAATGGGAAGTACAATGCCTGCAATTTAAAGGAGGGGTTTGGGATGTTGGCAGTTTGGAGGGATATGTTGTGTATCTTTATACATATATGCTTCTAAACTGTTGTATTCTGAGCGCCTCTGCAAAAGCAGTGATAATGTGTGAGTGTGGTGAAAGTGTTGAATGATGATGAAAGTATTTTCTTTTTGGGGATTTTCTTTGTTTTTTGGGTCACCCTGCCTCGGTGGGAGACGGCCGACTTGTTAAAAAAAAAATATATATATATATAGGTCTTGTGGATTGCATTGTTGAACTCATCTAACACATTTTATGTTGGATTGAGGTCTTGGTGTTTGTGATGGATTGTTGTGCTCTTGTAACAGTCTGGCTGTATTATTATTATAATCAAAAAGAAGCGCTAAACCACAAGGGCAGTCTGGCTGGATATTGCAATTGAGGAAACTGGATTAATGCCTGTAAACTGCCACATCAGTACTGTTTGCTGGGGTATAAATAAAAATTATGTATTTTCAACATAATTTTTTTTCTTACGTTGTTGATAGTGTGAAGTCATAGTTTTTTTGGGTGTGTATTGAAAAACATAACAAATGTACAACTTCATTTTCTTGCTGAATCAATTCCTCATTAACAGTATGAATTAATTTGGAAGGTACTGTACATTGTTGTATGTTATATGTAGATTATGTTATTGATTTATTGTGTGTTGTTTGCAAATCTCCACTAAGACAAGCCCAAATTGTATATCTGATTAGTAGTAGAGTAGAAAGTAATTTAAATGTGCAGTGGTTGTTGCATTGATGAATGTGGTGTTCTCTGTTACATAAATCTTTGATGATCCTGAGTCATAAGAGATTTATGTACAAGAAATTGTAAGTAATATTGTCCCAGGAGCAGCGTATTTAGAGTGATGTAGGTGTGGAGCTCTAACGTGTATCCCTCTCTCTCTTCTCTCCCCTCACGCTGCCTCCCTCCTCTCCACTGGGTGTGACATCCCCTCCACTAGGCCTAAATGTCAACAACAACATCAGCAACAACATCAACAACAACAACTTTAGCCATGTCCACAGAGGAAATCCCTGTGGAAAAGTTCATAAAATGACTGGGAGAAAATTGAGAAAAAATATGGAGGACCTTGATGATCAACATATCCCCATAATTTTACACAATCAGTCTTCTCGCAATTCACTTGTGGACTAAACTGAAAAATCAATAACTTCATGTAATCTTAAAAATTAATATCTTTAGCATGTCATGGATATTAAAGGTGGGTTAAGATTATTGCAGCATGGTCATTAGATATCACGCTGTAGCATAGAGCACCACTGTTTTGTTATAATGCACTTTATTACTCCTTAAGGAGTTAAACTCTACTTGTGATTGCTGGGTTGACCATTAGGCTCATTCTCTAAAGACATTGTATTCAATTTTTGGTTTATGTTAGTGTCAAGTGGTATTGTTGGACCTGCAATGTGTAGTTCAAGATCTTTGCATCATGATAAATTATGTGCCCATTGCCTTGAGTATGTAGAATGTTGTGTACAGTTTGTCCATTAGTTGTTTTTATTTTCTTTCTTATTGTTGCATTGATAATTAGCAATTATTTACTTACTTGTGTAACAGTATGATATGAATTGCAGGAAAAGATGCAGCAAATAGTAATCAGACAGGTCCCACATCCCTCATCAGTCCTCTTCATGCAACTGTGGGCTCTGTGTTATCTCCTGCAGCAGTTCATCAACCACAGACCAGCCCTGGGGAAAATACAATCACTGCGAACAGTACAAGTGTTGCCACCAGTGTCAGTGTAGGGGCTACAACAGGGGTGTCCACCAGCCAGTTGTATCTTCTAGACAGCTCCTATGATCTCGATTTGGACTCTATAGATGGTTCTGTATCACAGCCCTCACACTCAGAGTCATCACAGTTAGGACTAATTCACAATAATGCTGTGTAGCTCAGTGATAATGTAACAGAATATCTTCCCAAATGTGATACCTGGAGCAGTGTGTGGCATGTGCCAGGATTTGTGTACTGACAAGAGTCCTCCTTGAGCAATGTATATTTTTATTATAATCTCAGTGATATAGTTCAATAGTTGTTGGATCTATAGACGAATTTGTTATCAGTATAAATGAGACTGTTTCCTAGCTTATACTTTTTTTTTTTTTAATAATTGTATCATAGAAAACTAGGGAAGTAAATGGTTAAGGAATTATGAAAAAGAGAGAGTGAACCAGTATGAAAAAACAGCTGGTATCATTATTGAAAATTAGACTTGAATCGGTTAAGAGTGTAATTAAATTTAGGTTGCACAATTAAACCCTTTCGTACATCAAAGTTTGCGTCATGATTTTATATGTAATTACCTATTTGTGTACAAGCAAGGATGTGTACAGCATTACCAGTTGAAAGACATTCATTTATCTGAATACAGTACTTTGTTTAGCTGTGTTTGTCTGTATAGATTTTAAATTTCTGCAGGTGTATATTTGCATGTGATGTGCGTATGCATCCATACGTGTGTGTGTTGCACGTATGCGTGCGCATGTGCACCTGTGTGTGCTTGTGTGCCTTTGTGTGTGTGCTCTCACCTATATGTGGTTGCAGGGGTCGAGTCACAGCTCCTTGCCCCACCCCTTTGCTGATTGCACTCAAGAGTCTTATTGTACCTCTTCTTAAAGCTATGTGTGGATTGTGCCTCTATTGCTATGCTCTCCAGATTGTTCCACTTCATGACAGTTCTAAGGCTGACTTAATATTTCCTAACATCCCTTTGACTCGTCTGAATTTTCAACTTCCAGTTGTGTCCTCTTGTTCTTGTAGCCCATCTCTGAAACATTCTGGTCTGTTCACCTTGTCAATTCCTCTCGGTATTTTATACGTTGTTATTGTCCCCCCCCCCCATTGTTTCTGTTCTTGTAGGACATAATCCTTAGCTCTGAGACCAGTTGCAAACTTTTGTACTTTTTCTACTTTTCTGATGTGCTTGACCAGGTGTGGGTTCCATACTGGTGCTGCATACTCCAGTATGGGCCTGACGTACACTGTGTACAGTGTCGTGAATGACTCCTTACTACTGTGCATACTATATATACAGGACAAATTCTAATATCAGTCCAGCCCTGAAGCACTTTCTTGATAATTGCAGTGGAACTCATTGGCATAATACTAGACACAGAAATCCTCTATGATGTTTGCCCTGTCTGCCTTAACCTTTGTAGAAAGTCAGTGCATAAAATCTGGAACTTTTAACCTGAAAGCTCCAGAATCTCTATCTGCCAGCCGCTTCAAAGCTGCTGTTAAAAAACGCCTTACACCAGTGTGATAAAACAATATTGCTGATCAGTTCTTTCAGCCTGCATTGTCCCTGTCCTTGTTTATTATTCCTTCAACTTATGTAACTAGTCTCACCCCTTATACATGTATATCATCAGTTATTTTTTTTATTATGAAATACCTTCAATATTTTAAAAATTATGTATTCCTTTTCTCAGATAATTGTAATCCTAATTTAGTTTTAACCCTTTCAGGGGGGTCCAGAGGCTAAATCTCAGAGTGACAGCCAGGGTCCAAGAATTTTTGAAAAAAAAAAAAATCTTAAAGAATTAAAGATAATACTCTTCTATACAGTGCCAGCACTCTGAAGGAGGGGTGTTAATGTTGCAGTTTTATAAGTGTAGTGTAAGCATGCCTCTGGCAAGACAGTGATGGAGTGAATGATGAAAGTTTTTCTTTTTTGGGCCATCCTGCCTTGGTGGGAAACTGCCAGTGTGTTAATAAATAATAAAAAAGTATAATTTTTCTGTAGGTAATAAAACACAAAAAATTCTTTTACATCAGTATTTCCAGGATATAGATGCGTGAAGTTGACCCTCAATGACCAGGTGGCAGCAACATCCGGTTTCCGTTCTTCGGGTTGCCGGTGTTGCTATAGCAAACCCTCTTTACGTTGCCACCGAAATTGGTAATCATCTTGTCTGTATCTCTCGAGGGCTCCATCTATGCCCCTCGTTTCTTTCTTCCAAGTTTGCCAGAGAGTTGGAGTCTTCAAACTTTTCCATATACATATATTCAGCTGCCTCTCCTGCAACTCTCTCTTGCCTTAATCTCATCCATCACCAGGGATTATGTTTATGCCTCAGTGCTTTTCGCTCTTCACCAATTGAGAGCCTCTGTGCAGGGGGCAAATATTCCATCCTTGTCCAATCTCTGTGATGCTCATTGCCTTTGCTATTATGTTTGCTCTCATGACCTCTGCAATCCTTCCATATATAGGATAGTCACTGATGTTAGAAGACGTTCTTTATTTGTTTGTCGCCCCTGTTTACTCCATCCCTTTTCTCTTTGCCTACATTTGCTCATCTTCTCTTCAGTTACCACATTTCAATGTTCATGTAGCATCTCACTTTTCCCTACCCCCTTGGGAAGTTCTGACGGTTCATGGCTGTTCTTTTTCACTGCCATGCGCAAAAGCTCAACTGCCTATGGTGGCTTCTTGCTCTCTTTTTTCTTAACCACTTTTGATCTCATTCTCATGCCATCGCAGTGTACACCGATAGTGCCAAGTCTTCTGACGGCATCGGATTTGCAGCAGTGTTTCCAGACAGCATCGTGCGAGGGCATTTATAATCCTCGGCTAGCATTTTTATGGCTGAATTGTATGCCATTCTCATAGCACTTAACCATATTGCATCTATGCCTGTGTCACCATTTGTGGTCGTTTCAGACTCCCTTAGTGCTTTACAGGCTACAAAAAAATTTGATGCACCTCATCCCCTGGTTCTTCACATCAAACTTTGGTTACACCTGTATCTCTAGCAAGCACAAAGATATTGTTTTTTGTTGAGTCTCTGGTCATGTTGACATACAGGGCAGTGAACAGGCAGACACTGCTGTGCAGTCAGCAGTACATGACCTCCCAGTTTCATATAGAGGTGTTCCATTCACAGACTATTTTGCTGTAATTGCTACCGTCCCATCAGACTAACAACGTTAGTCTGATCTTCTACATAACAAACTACATTCTATTAAACCAAGTCTTACTCATGGGTATCTCATGGAGAGGTGCCCTGTTCCACTCTGTGAGAATTGTCAGGTTCCAGTTTCTGTTAGCCATATTCTGTTGGAGTGCCCACTCTATCAACGAGCACACAGAATTTACCTCCAACATCATCACAGCTCTACTGCCCTTGCTTTACCTTCCCTTCTTGCTGATGGACCCTCCTTTAACCCAGACACTCTCAGTGACTTTGACAGCAACTAATTTACTGCACAAACTCTGATGAGGATGCCTCTAGCACTCCTCACAGCCCTTTCTACCTCAATCTCTTGCTACCTTTCCCCCCTGCATTATCCACTGCCCTGCTGTACTCCATGACCTAATAATAATTCCTCTCCATTTTGCTACCCAATACCCCTGCACCCTTCCCTGCCCTACTGCGCTGTATGACCCTTGTAGGTTTAGCGTTTCTTTTTTATTATAATAATAATAATATCTCTCTGTACACAAACATACATAATCACCTAACTGTGGTTGCAGGGGTTGAGTCATAGCCCCTGGCCCCCGCCTCTTCACTGGTCACTACTAGGTCCACTATCCTTGCTCCATGTGCTTTATCATACCTCTTTTTATAGTTTTCAACTTCAAGTTGTGACCCCTTGTTGCTGTCACATCTCTGAAACATTCTGTCCCTGTCCACCTTGTCAGTTCCTCTCAGTATTTTTTGTTGCTGTTGTTATCATGTACCCCCTATCCCTCCTGTCTTCTAATGTTGTCAAGTTGAGTTCCCTTAACCTCTCCTCATAGGACAAACCCCTCAGCTCCATGACTAGTCTTGTTGCAAACCTTTGCATTTCCTCTAATTTCTTGAGATGTTTGACAAGGTTTTGGTTCCATACTGGTGCTGCATACTCCAATATGGGCCTGACATACACAGTGTAGTGAATGACTCCTTACTTAGATGTTGAAACGCTATCCTCAGGTTTGCCAAGCGCCCCGTATACTGCAGCAGTTATTTGGTTGACGTGTGCCTCAGGAGATGTGCTCAGTATGATTGTTTTCCTTGAGTGAGTTTTGCAACCTCTGACCTCTTCGGCTGTACTCCATCTGCAGTCTCCTGTGTCCTTCCCCAAGCTTCATAACTTAGCACTTGCTGGGGTCAAACTCCAGGAGCCATTTGTCAGACCAGGCTTGCAGCTTATCCAGAGCCCCTTGTAAGCTTAACCTGTTTCTTGTCCGCTTGTAGGTTTAACACTTCTTTTTGATTATAATAATAATTGTCCGCTTGTTTTCTCCTCATTAGTTTTACATCGTCTGCGAACAGGGACACCTTTGATCCTATCTCTTCCATCATGTCATTCACATATGCAAGAAACAGCACTAGACCAAGGACTGAACCTTGTGGAAGCCCACTCGGACACATGCACCCACTGTGACACCTCATCTCAGACTGACACACGTTGTTTCCTTCCTGTCAGATATTCCGTGATTTATTGCAGTACTTTCCCTCCTATTCCTGCCTGCTCCTCTAGTTTTTCAACCAGTCTTTTGTGTGGTACTGTGTCAAAAGCCTTCTTACAGTCCAAGAAGATGCAGTCTACTCATTCCTCTCTCTCTCTCTCTCTCCTGTCTTACTTCTGTTACTCCAATAGGTTTGTGATGCAAGATTTCCATTCCCTGGAGTTGTGCTGGTTGTCATGTACGAGTGTATTCCATTCTAGGTGCTCCACCACTCTTTTTTTTTCTGATAATCTTCTCTATAACTTTATGTACAAAACATGTCAGCAGCACTGGTCTAATTTAGTACAACCTGTTTCCTTTCTTAAAAATCAGGACTACATTTGCTGTCTTGCACACCTCAGGCAGTTGTTCTTGTTAGTGGCGCACACAGTGCATCTGCTCCCTCTCTCAGGGCCCAAGGAGGGAGATTATCTGGGTCCACCACCTTCGAGGTATCTAGTACCCCTAGCAGTTTCTTCACCTCCTCCTCTGTTGTGTGCAGTGTGTCCATCACTTGCTGGTGCACCCTACCACCTCAGTTTGCTGGAAGCCTTTCTGTCTCCACTGTGAACACCTCCCTAAATTGCAAGCTGAGCTCTTCACATATTTCCTGGTCATTCCCTGTGAGCTCCCCTCCTTCCTTCCTCAGCCTTATTACCTGGTCCTTGACTTGTTTTCTTCTTGATGTGGCTGTATAACAACTTGGGTCAGATTTGGCTTTTTGATACTATGTCATTCTTATATTGATGCTGGCTTCTCTCCTTACCCAAGTATATTCATTTCTGGCTCTTCGGCTCAACTCCTTGTTTTCCTGGGTCCTTTGCCTGCTATACTTTTTCCATACTCTAGCACACTTGGCTTTGGCCTCTCAACACCTCCAGGTACACCATGGGCTCACTCTGGTCTTCCCGTTGTTTCTGTTGCCCCTTGGTACGAACTTCTCCACTGCCTCCCAGCACTTTGTGGTCATGTGCTCAATCATTTCATTTATTGTCTTTCCCTCTAGCTCACTTACCCACTGCACTTCATGTAGAAATTGCCTCATACTTGTGTAGTCCCTTTCTTGGAAGTTTGGCTTCTCCTGTCCTTCTTGTGCTGCTTCACTCTCCCTTGTTATCTCTACTATGTATTCGAAACTTAAGACCATGTGATCACTAGCACCTAGGGGCCTTTCATGTGTGATATCTCGAGTCTGAACTGCTCAAGGTGAATACGAGGTCCAGCCTTGCTGGTTCATCATCTGTTTTTTTTTTTCTGTGCGTGTTTGCATGCAAACACGTGTGTGTGTGTGTGTGTGTGTGTGTGTGCACGTGTGTGTGTGTGTGCGTGTGCGCGTGTGCGTGCGTGCGTGTGTGTGTGTGTGTGCCTGTGTGTGCCTGTGTGTGTGCCTGTGTGTGTGCGTGTGTGTGTGTGCATGTGTGTGTGTGTGTGTGCATGCATGCATGCATACGTGTGCATGCATACATGCACAAAAATGTATATTTATACGTATTTCCATTAACTGTACATTTAAATAACATGACAACATGTATATCTTTGTGAATATCTTCATTTAAAATTTTTAGTCATGTTTAATTTGTATATTAATGACTCAATTCATATGTAGTTGACTCTCTCTTGAAGCTCCTCTGTTTAGTGTAGTTTTTCATAAATGCAGTTGAAAAGTACATCTGGTATTGAATGTGAGTGAAGAAGCTTTCATAGCACCTACTATTCAATTTTGGATTTTCTCTGAATTGCATTTATAAAAAATTGCACTATATAAAAGAGCTTTATGAGAGTTTATTGTAATACAATTAAAATCAAGATACTGTGTCCTGAGTTTAAGCGACCAAAGTTTTGTGTGAAGCACCTTGTGCTCTAGCATGTATGAAGTCTTGACAAAGAAGTAATTTATTAATGTAGAAGTTTCTGGTAAAACATTAGCATTTATGGCATTTGCAGATTTAAAAGCATAACTGTTGACAGAAAGCTGAAAGTTTTGTAAGACTGGTAAGTGTTGTTCTTTTTTCTATACTCTGTTGTACATAAGGAAATTTTCCAAAATATGTGAGCGCTTCATTATTGTGCCTCAAGATCAAGTAGGTAGAAATGGTGTCTTTTATTGTTGTCTACAATGTTTTCATGTACCCTATCGCCAGGTCAAACTTTTTGTGCATGTTTGTGATTTACAGATTAATTAGTTTATTTTTTTGGGGGGATTTTTAAAGTGGTAAATCATTAAAGTGCAAGCACTGTACCATATTGTGAATGTATATCAGGGTTTCGGTAATGTGCCACATTTGGCAAGCAGAATTTTCATTACAGCCTCTCCTCACTTAGTGACATACTCGTTTACCGAAGCCTTAGACTTACGACGGGCTCTCTGACTAGTATTTATACCTTTTTTTTTTTTTTTTTTTTTTTTTTCAACAAGTCGGCTGTCTCCCACCGAGGCAGGGTGACCCAAAAAGAAAGAAAATCCCCAAAAAGAAAATACTTTCATTGTCATTCAACACTTTCACCTCACTCACACATAATCACTGTTTTTGCAGAGGTGCTCAGAACACAACAGTTTAGAAGCATATACGTATAAAGATACACAATATATCCCACCAAACTGCTAATATCCCAAAACCCCTCCTTTAGAGTGCAGGCATTGTACTTCCCATTTCCAGGACTCGAGTCCGGCTATATAAAAATAACGGGTTTCCCTGAATCCCTTCACTAAATATTACCCTGCTCACACTCCAACAGATTGTCAGATCCCAAATACCATTCATCTCCATTCACTCCTATCGAACACGCTCATGCATGCCTGCTAGAAGTCCAAGCCCCTCGCCCACAAAACCTCCCTTACCCCTTTCTTCCAACCTTTTCGAGGACGACCCCTACCTCGCCTTCCTTCTCCTACAGATTTAAATGCTCTCCATGTCATTCTACTTTGATCCATTCTCTCTAAATGACCAAACCACCTCAACAACCTCTCTTCAGCCCTTTGACTAATACTTTTATTAACTCCACACCTTCTCTTAATTTCCACACTCCGAATTTTCTGCATAATAATTTACACCACACATTGCCCTGACAGGACATCTCCACTGCCTCCAACTGCCTCCTCACTGCTGCATTCACAACCCAAGCTTCACACCCATATAAGAGTGTTGGTACTACTATACGTTCATACATTCCCTTCTTTGCCTCCATAGATAACGTTTTTTTGACTCCTCACATACCTCAATGCACCACTCGCCTTTTTTCTTTCATCAGTTCTTTGATTAACCATACTCCTCCTCCCCAATTTGATATCCAATTTTTCTTTATCTAAATCATTTGATACCCTCATCACCTTACTCTTTTCTATGTTCACTTTCAACTTTCTACCTTTACACACACTCCCAAACTCATCCACTAACCTTTGCAATTTTTCTTTAGAATCTCCCAAAAGCACAGTACCATCAGCAAAAAGTAACTGTGTCAATTCCCATTTTGTATTTGATTCCCCATAATTTAATCCCACCCCTCTCCCGAACACCCTAGCATTTACTTCCTTTACAACCCCATCTATAAATATATTAAACAACTATGGTGACATTACACATCCCTGCCTAAGACCTACTTTTACCGGGAAGTAGTCTCCCTCTCTTCTACACACCCTAACCTGAGCCTCACTATCCTCATAAAAACTCTTTACAGCATTTAGTAACTTACCACCTATTCCATATACTTGCAACATCTGCCACATTGCTCCTCTATCTACTCTATCATATGCCTTTTCTAAATCCATAAATGCAATAAAAACTTCCCTACCTTTATCTAAATACTGTTCACATATATGCTTCAATGTAAACACTTGATCTACACATCCCCTACCCACTCTGAAACCTCCTTGCTCATCCACAATCCTACATTCTGTCTTACTTCTAATTCTTTCAATAATAACCCTACCGTACGGTTTTCCTGGTATACTCAATAAACTTATTCCTCTATAATTTTTACAACCTCTTTTGTCCCCTTTCCCTTCATATAAAGGGACTATACATGCTCTCTGCCAATCCCTATGTACCTTCCCCTCTTTCATACATTTATTAACCCATAAATGGTCCAAGCAGATCTACGTTCACATGTGTAGTGCTACAAAAGTAGATCTACGTTTTTTTTACATATTTTCAAATATAACAAAAAAACAAGTAGATCAAAGTTTTTTACAAATTTTCAAATGTAAGAAAACAAAAAGAAGATCTACTTTTTTTACATACTTTCAAATGTTGAAAAAACGTATATGTACGTTTGGACTGTTTACGGGTTAAACAAAAGTACCAACCACTCCAACACTATATCCCCCCCTGCTTTTAACATTTCTGTCATGATCCCATCAGTTCCAGCTGCTTTACCCCCTTTCATTCTGCGTAATGCCTCACGTACCTCCACCACACTTACATTCTGCTCTTCTTCACTCCTAAAAGATGGTATACCTCCCTGGCCAGTGCATGAAATTACCGCCTCCCTTTCTTCCTCAACATTTAAAAGTTCCTCAAAATATTCTCGCCATCTACCTAATACCTCCCTCTCCCCATCTACTGACTCCCCTACTCTGTTTTTAACTGACAAATCCATACGTTCCCTAGGCTTTCTTAACTTGTTTAACTCACTCCAAAGTTTTTTCTTATTTTCATTAAAATTTCTTGACAGTGCCTCTCCAATCTTTCATCTGCTCTCCTTTTGCACTCTCTCACCACTCTCCACCTTTCTTTTACTCTCCATATACTCTGCTCTTCTTATAACACTTATGCTTTGTAAAAACCTCTCATAAGCTACCTTTTTCTCTTTTATCACACCCTTTACTTCATCATTCCACCAATCACTCCTCTTTCCTCCTGCCCCCACCCTCCTATAACCACAAACTTCTGCCCCCACATTCTAATACTGCATTTTTAAAACTCATCCAACCCTCTTCAACCCCCCCCCCCACTACTTATCTTTATACTAGCCCACCTTTCTGCCAATAGTCGCTTATATCTCGCCCGAACTTCCTCCTCACTTAGTTTATACACTTTCACTTCCCTCCTACTTGTTGTTGCCACCTTCCTCTTTTCCCATCTACCTCTTATTCTAACTGTAGCTACAACTAAATAATGATCCGATATATCAGTTGCCCCTCTATAAACATGTACATCTTGGAGCCAACCCATTAACCTTTTATCCACCAATACATAATCTAACAAACTACCTTCATTATGTACTACATCATACCTTGTATATTTATTTATCCTCTTTTTCATAAAATATGTATTACTTATTACCAAATTTCTTTCTACACATAGCTCAATTAAAGGCTCCACATTTACATTTACCCCTGGCACCCCAAATTTACCTACTACTCCCTCCATAACATTTTTACCCACTTTAGCATTGAAATCCCCAACCACAAGTACTCTCACACTTGGTTCAAAACTCCCCACGTATTCACTCAACATTTCCCAAAATCTCTCTCTTTCTCCTCTACACTTCTCTCTTCTCCAGGTGCATATACACTTACTATGACCCACTTTTCACATCCAACCTTTATTTTACTCCACAAAATCCTTGAATTTATACATTTATAGTCCCTCTTTTCCTGCCATATCTTATCCTTCAACATTATTGCTACTCCTTCTTTAGCTCTAACTCTTTTTGAAACCCCTGACCTAATCCCATTTATTCCTCTCCACTGAAACTCTCCCACCCCCTTCAGCTTTGTTTCACTTAAAGCCAGGACATCCAGCATCTTCTCATTCATAACATCCACAATCATCTCTTATCATTTGCACAACATCCACACACATTCAGACTTCCCACTTTGACAATTTTCTTCTTATTCTTTTTAGTAATCTTTACAGGGAAAGGGGTTACTAGCCCATTGTTCCCGGCATTTTAGTTGACTTTTACAACACGCATGTCTTACGGAGGAAAGATTCTTATTCCACTTCCCCATGGATATAAAAGGAAAAGTAATAAGACCAAGAACTATTAAGATAAAATCAAAGAAAACTCATATGAGTGTGTATAAATAAATGTGTACATGTATGTGTAGTGTGACCTAAGTGTAAGTAGAAGTAGCAAGACATACCTGTAATCTTGCATATTTATGAGACAGACAAAAAAAAAAAAAAACACCAGCAATCCTACCATCATGTAAAACTATTACAGGCTTTTGTTTTACATTCACTTGGCAGGACGGTAGTACCTCCCTGGGTGGTTGCTGTCTACCAACCTACTACTACTAAATAATGTATATTAGAGCTGATTTCCTCAATCCTGTTTATTACAATATACAGTACACTGCTGTATAAACATTTAAAAATATACCAGAAATGTTATAAATGGTGTAAAGGTGACATTAAAACAGTATAAAAGATGGTTGACACAAATCCACTACCATTATAATATGCTCCTCGTTTAGTGATGAATTCATTTACCCACGGGGTCTTAGGTCCCTATCTCTGTCGTTAAGCTAGGAGAGGCTGTATCATAATGTTGCTCTGTGCTTGGTATCTGATGGCTTTTTCTGAAGATTCTAAATTTTATTTAAACATGCCTGTTATTCAGAAGTATTAAGATTGTTCAAAAATCTCATTTACTTAGAAGTTATATAATGGGATGTATTTTTTTGCATGATTTGCAATTAATCCTTCACTTATTGAAGCTTCAAGTTATTATAAGTGTATGGAAATTTATTAAAAATTAAAATCAAAATTAGAGCTAAAGAGAATAGATGCAAAGACAATGAGCAAAGGGACAGAGATTAGAAAGTAAAGTACAGTACTAGAGAAGATCAGAATAAACTTAGTAAAATGGTACATCTTGACTAGAATAGTAAATGCTTTCAACTTATGAAGAAAAGCTAAGTCGATGTGATTTCTAGGATTTCATTAGATCAGTTTTGGTGATGCTTCTCTTACTGCAGAAATGATCCCAACTAGAAATGTTTCCAGTCATATTTTTCATCCCACAGTGATATCTTGTTACTGTCCTTAAAGAATTATTATCTTAATACTAAATAAATATTTAGAAATTTAAAACTCAATTTAGGAGTTTCAAAGTGCAGTAAACATAATTGTAAGGTTTAAATTTATATTTGTTTCACTGTTCCTCCCAGTTTTCTTATGCGTGCTTTTGGCCCTTTTAAAATATACCTGTATATCACATATAAAAAAGTTTGGCTAAATGGACGTGAAAAACATTATTAAAATATCTGAATAAGTAATCATAGTAATGTACTGTACTTACATATGGGTGGTACATAGTTTAATTGCTACAGATGACTGCAAGTGTACATATTGGCTTGGCAGCACTATGAGTAAAGTATAAAGAATGTTGCCCTCGTATTATCAAGGTTTGTGTAATGCACTGGATGTGATTTGATGTAATGTTGTCAGATGTATATTCTCTACACCAAAGAGCAGTTGATTGAAGAAATTTGTCAATAAGTCAACAAGATTAATCATCTTAGTGCCAGCTTGTATGTTAGATTACCTGTAACTATAATTGAAGGGCAGTATACCTGCATGCATTTGCTGATTACGGTTTATGTATTAAGTTTTACTGTAGTACAGTGGACCCCCGGTTAACGATATTTTTTCACTCCAGAAGTATGTTCAGGTGCCAGTACTGACCGAATTTGTTCCCATAAGGAATATTGTGAAGTAGATTAGTCCATTTCATACCCCCAAACATACACGTACAAATGCACTTACATAAATACACTTACATAATTGGTCGCATTCGGAGGTGATCGTTATGCGGGGGTCCACTGTATTTATAGGCTCCTAGGAGTAATATAGAAAGCATTATATTATATATGTTTTGATGACATATTGTAAATTTGTGCACCAGGTTTAAGTGCAAATTTGGATTGGGTTCTAAAGTGACCTTCAGTTCATTGGCAATAACAGTGTTTTGGGACCAGTTCAGTTGCATAACTGTAGAGGAGGGGGACAAGGTGATATTTTGTAAGCTTTGCTTATTCTTGCATTAGCTGCTGGAAAGAGCAAAATCATACTGATGTATCACTATTGACATACACAAAGCCAGAGAATTTTATTCTTTTTCAAAATTTGTTTTGTAAAGTTTTGTTGAAAGTGTAGCAAAGAATTGAGGTGCATGTCCAGGTTAAAACAGAGAGAGTAATATTGACTGATGAAGGAACTGCCAGTTTGTACTTGGTGTAGGCCCAGGCCTGTCTGATGAGCTGCCTTCATCTTCATATCACTACTTACTTGGGACTCAGTTTCTTGCTAGTAGACACCCATTACATAGTTGTGACATTGAAGAATTTCTAACAGCTGTTTTACACATCTTTTTATAGCATTGTAGTTTAAGATTATATGTGAATATTGGCAAAATTGTAATTACAATCCATTTGGAATGTCAGATATTTTCATGTATAATTTATGAATTTGTGGCATGTGAAGGTGTAGCTTGTTTAAGGTCTGCACTAGATAACTACTAGGCCATCACTTGGCCTTCAATGAGGCCAAGCAGTACACGCGTTAATCATCTTACTTGAGCCAGTCTTTTTTGTTAGAATTAAGATTACCTCTTGTCATACTTTTTTATCATACACAAATGCAGATTTATTTTCACATTTTAATATTCTAATGTAAGTTTATGTATTGCTTAGCTCTTGAGCAGTTAACTTGATATGTGATATGTTTTAGCTTTGTTTATAGTCTCACAGCTTTGTTTCAACTATATCTCCAACTCCTTTATAAACATTATCACTGTTTTTTCAGCTTCACACAATTTATGCGTATATTATAAAAGTGAAAATTCAAATGCCTTGTAAAATATCCATTAAGAAAATTATACTGTAAATTGTGCTTTATTAACCCTTAAACGGTCCTAACGTAGATATACGTTCTCTCGTGTAGCGCCCCAAATATACTTATATATATGTTTCCTTTGTCATTCATTCAAGATTGACATGATAGGCCTGAGTCGCCTAGGCATGAGAGAATGTGTGTGCGCACTCAAGTGTGCACCATATGAAAAAAATTGGGGATGCCTGGGTAACACGTGCTCTTTTTTCCTATTAAAAAAACTATTTTTTTTTCTCAAAATATTCGGGGCGCTGCGCAGGTGAACGTATATGTATGTTTGGACTGTTTAAGGGCTAATAAGTAGATAATGCAGTTGGTCAGAGATGATTAAATTGGTGATAAAGTACTGTACTGTGTATAGAATATCAGATTTAATTATTGTTTGAAATCTTTATTATAATTGCCAAGTACTGTACAGTGACTTTCATAGCATATTTAGGTCCAGACTGAGACTTTATTTGATACAGATACTGTAGAGTTATTTGTTAGAGTTTTTTATAAGATTTGAAAAAAAAAATACCATATATACTCTAGTGTAGGCTGAGGTTTTACAGCTAAATTCTTAAGCAAAAAAGTAAAGGGTCAACATATTCGGAAGTAATATTTTGGAAAAACCTGGTATTCTTACATACTGAGGGCATACTATATACTAAATTCTTTTCTCTGTTTTATCAAGGGCAAAATCATGCTCAGTAGCTATAAAAATATTGGATACTCTCAAGTAAATGTGAGAATATCCAGCAGTTTCATTTGCCCTGGTGAGGCACCAAGGAGCCTGGAAGACTGGAGACCTACTCGGGTTATATTGAGATCTGGTCAAGTTCCAAGAAGACTTGATCAGTTACTGTTACTATTAGGTCTAATCCTCCCTCCTTAGGTTAAGTTGTTTTGTGTTAGGTTCAGTTAGGTTAGGTTCAAGTTAATTAACCTAAATATGCAAAATCTACCACATATATAACCTAAAGCATAAGAAATCCAAGAATGCAGTAGAAAATGCCTTCTTCTGTTTGCAATGCAACAGATCACTGGAGAGTTGTCAGAGTGGCTACTGTTCCCTCAAGATTAACCTATATTTTATTTTTCATTACAGTTTATTAATGTGAAATGTAAATCATGATTGCATAGGACAGTGTAAACAAATTTAAACCCCCCAACCCCCAGTCCTCCCCCACCTGCCAACTGCTGACATTTACCATACTTGGATAATTATGCTGACAAGCAGAACGGTGTAAAGAATGAATTCGTAAATTTTTATCACTCTCTACCAAAAAAAAAAAAAAGTGTTGGATGTAAGCAGGACCCCCCTAGCTAGCGTGGGCCAGTGGGCATGCTGGCTACTTTTCAATACAGTACTCTCTCAACAGTTTTGCAACCACTAGCAATAATGTTGGTGTGAGTTAGAAAGCAACAAATTGTTTTCTTTCAAAGCACAGTTATAGTTCTGATTATCTTCACACTGCTGTTGTGTTTGGCAAACTACATTCTCACTCTTACAAATCAGATACATGTGACTCACTCCTGGATGCCACTTTGAGAAACAACCAACACTGATCTGCTAGGACTGCCAATTTGCACTCGGTCCCCCCATATCTTAATATAAATTGTCCTGCCTGTCATTGGACACGAAGGATTCACTTCTGACGTGTACGTGTCCCTAACACACTTATACTGACCTCTGTGCCTGAGTCCCCACCTTTAACACAGACTCACTGATTTTTTTAGACAGAAACTAACCTATTGTCCCCACTATGATTTCAATTTTACACTCACACCAACATCCACCTCCAATATCTCCTACCTCTCCCATACTCCTAGCATCTGCATACTCCTGCTTTTTCATATCCCTCTCCACAGTGCTGAATAGCTCATGTGGGTTTAGCACTTAATTTTACTATATTGCAGTGCACCTCTTTTCTTATATGAGGTTGGTATGCAAGTAGGATCTATTAAACATGAGCCAGTAGGCCTATTATGGTCTTATGTAATGGTTGGGTGAGAGTAGGACCTACCTAGCTTGAGAATGTAGATCTTCTGCAATATGCCTTTATTATGTTTATCAAGTGTTTGAACATACTTTTATTGTATTTGTCACAAATATTGGAAAGTTTTTGGTGCTATTTTTGTTTTCAATCATTTTGTCCAAGTTTTAGCTAGAATATATTTTGCATTAGATGCATTTGTATATGCGGTATGAAAAATTAGGGATTTTTTGGCAAAAAGTAACAGGTTACTATATACACTGTCTTTATACTTGAGTACATATGGTTTTCTTTTTTTTAATATTTATTTATCTTAAAACAAAATGTAATTGTTCAAATGGTTTGATACTGAGTGACAGGTACAAAGAGGACATACTTAATGACTTGCATTCCATCAAAATCTGTTTGATATAGATTCATTCTGTATTGAAACATTTTACATATTCTCATTATACGATGAGGTGAATTATTGTAAAAAAAATGTGTTTCATTGAATCATGATAAATAAATACAGAAGCAAAATAAATATATATATATATATATATATATATATATATATATATATATATATATATATATATATATATATATATATATATATATATATATATATATATATATTTTTTTTTTTTTTTTTTTTTTCTCTCATCACTTAACGACAGAGTTCTGTTCGTAAGACCATGTCAGTAAGTGAATTCGTCGCTAAGTGAGGAGCATATTATAATGATAGTGGGTTTGTGTCAACCATCTTTTATACTGTTTTAATGTCACCTTTGCACCATTTATAACATTTCTGGTATATTTTTAAATGTTTATACAGCAGTGTACTGTATATTGTAATAAAAAGAATTGAGGAAATCAGTTCTAATATATGTTATTTAGGTATGTATACTGGTCAGAGAGCCCATCGTAAGTTAGTGTTGTCGGTAAATGAGTACGTCACTAAGTGAGGAGAGTTAAAATAAATAAATATATATATATATATATATCCTCCATGGGGAAGTGGAACAGAATTCTTCCTCCGTAAGCCATGCGTGTTGTAAGAGGCGACTAAAATGCCGGGAGCAAGGGGCTAGTAACCCTTCTCCTGTATATATTACTAAATGTAAAAGGAGAAACTTTCGTTTTTCTTTTTGGGCCACCCCACCTTGGTGGGATACGGCCAGTGTGTTAAAAGAAAAAAAAAAGATATATATATACGTATACACATATATTTTTTTTTTTTTTTCAACAAGTTGGTCGTCTCCCACCGAGGCAGGGTGACCCAAAAAAGAAAGAAAATCCCCAAAAAGAAAATACTTTCATCATCATTCAACACTTTCACCACACTCACACATTATCACTGCTTTTGCAGAAGTGCTCAGAATACAACAGCTTAGAAGCATATACGTATAAAGATACACAACATATCCCTCCAAACTGCCAATATCCCAAACCCCTCCTTTAAAGTGCAGGCATTGTACTTCCCATTTCCAGGACTCAAGTCCGACTATATGAAAATAACCGGTTTCCCTGAATCCCTTCACTAAATATTACCCTGCTCACACTCCAACAGATCGTCAGGTCCCAAGTATCATTCGTCTCCATTCACTCCTATCTAACATGCTCATGCACGCTTGCTGGAAGTCCAAGCTTCTCGCCCACAAAACCTCCTTTACCCCCTCTTTCCAACCCTTTCGAGGACGACCCCTACCCCTCTTTCCTTCCCCTATAGATTTATATGCTTTCCATGTCATTCTACTTTGATCCATTCTCTCTAAATGACCAAACCACCTCAACAACCCCTCTTCTGCCCTCTGACTAATGCTTTTATTAACTCCACACCTTCTCCTAATTTCCACACTCCGAATTTTCTGCATAATGTTTACACCACACATTGCCCTTAGACAGGACATCTCCACTGCCTCCAACCGTCTCCTCGCTGCTGCATTTACCACCCAAGCTTCACATCCATATAAGAGTGTCGGTACTAATATACTTTCATACATTCTCTTCTTTGTCTCCATAGATAACGTTTTTTGACTCCACATATACCTCAATGCACCACTCACCTTTTTTCCCTCATCAATTCTATGATTAACCTCATCCTTCATAAATCCATCCGCCGACACATCAACTCCCAAGTATCTGAAGACATTCACTTCTTCCATACTCCTCCTCCCCAATTTGATATCCAATTTTTCTTTATCTAAATCATTTGATACCCTCATCACCTTACTCTTTTCTATGTTCACTTTCAACTTTCTACCTTTACACACATTCTCAAACTCATCCACTAACCTTTGCAATTTTTCTTTAGAATCTCCCATAAGCACAGTATCATCAGCAAAAAGTAACTGTGTCAATTCCCATTTTGAATTTGATTCCCTATAATTTAATCCCACCCCTCTCCCGAACACCCTAGCATTTACTTCCTTTACAACCCCATCTATAAATATATTAAACAACCATGGTGACATTACACATCCCTGTCTAAGACCTACTTTTACCGGGAAGTATTCTCCCTCTCTTCTACACACCCTAACCTGAGCCTCACTATCCTCATAAAAGCTCTTTACAGCATTTAGTAACTTTTCTTTCTTCTTTCAACACACCGGCTGTATCCCACCAAGGCGGGGTGGCCCAAAAGGAAAAACGAAAGTTTCTCCTTTTACATTTAGTAATATATACAGGAGAAGAGGTTACTAGCCCCTTGCTCCCGGCATTTTAGTTGCCTCTTACAACACGCATGGCTTACGGAGGAAGAATTCTGTTCCACTTCCCCATGGAGATAAGAGGAAATAAACAAGAATAAGAACTAGAAAGAAAATAGAAGAAAACCCAGAGGGGTGTGTATATATGTGCTTGTACATGTATGTGTAGTGTGACCTAAGTGTAAGTAGAAGTAGCAAGACGTACCTGAAATCTTGCATGTTCATGAGACAGAAAAAAGGACACCAGCAATCCTACCATCATGTAAAACAATTACAGGCTTTCGTTTACACTCACTTGGCAGGACGGTAGTACCCTCCCGGGCGGTTTGCTAGTCTACCAACCTACTACCTATAATATATATATATATATATATATATATATATATATATATATATATATATAATATATATATATATATACACACATACACACACACACACACACACACACACACACACACACATACATATACAGTGGATCCCCAGTTAACGATATTTTTTCACTCCACAAGTATGTTCAGGTGCCAGTACTGACCGAATTTGTTCCCATAAGGAATATTGTGAAGTAGATTAGTCCATTTCAGACCCCCAAACATACACGTACAAACGCACTTACATAAATACACTTACATAATTGGTCACATTCGGATGTGGTCGTTATGCGGGGGTCCACTGCATATATATATATTGGCAGTTTGGAGGGATATGTTGTGTATCTTTATATGTATATGCTTCTAAACTGTTGTATTCTGAGCACCTCTGCAAAAACAGTGATAATGTGTGAGTGTGGTGAAAGTGTTGAATGATGATGAAAGTAATTTCTTTTTGGGGATTTTCTTTCTTTTTTGGGTCACCCTGCCTCGGTGGGAGACGGCCGACTTGTTGAAAAAAAAAAAAAAAAAAAAAAAAAAAAATATATTAAATAAAATTATAATATTAATATATATAAAATATTATAATATATATAATTTATTATAATAATATTTTTATATATATATATATATTATATATAAATATTATATATATTATATTTTATTTTATTATCAGTTATATTTATTATATATATATATAAAATATAAAATATTATATAATTATTTAAATATAAATATTAAACCACATACATATATAAAAATATACACTTTTAGAGGGGTGGGTAGGTAAGTTTGGGGGTCCGGGTTTTTAAAATAAAAAGGGGAACCCCCTTTGATTGAAACTTTGATTAGAAAGGGGGTTTAGTTATAGGTAATACAATTTTAAAGAAAAAAGAGGATAAAAAGTATCACGATATGAGTGGGGCGAAATGAAGTAGTTTGTTGGATTTGTATTGGTAAAAAAAAGACTTTGAGTAATTCAGGGAGACAGTTTATGGGGGCCACAGATATACAACACTTTCTGTTTGAGGCACGAGAGTAAAAAGGTAAGATGGGATACAAGAGAAAGAAGCTGGGAAAAGAGGGGAAGGTTTATAAACTAAAAGAGGGGGCAGTTTGGGGTAAGATATAAAACGCTTTTGGAGGTAGATGGGGCTAATGAAGCATAGGCAATGGGGGTCGAAGGGGTTATGGGGGGGTAGGTTTTAAAAATGTAGGGGTTTAGAGTGTTCGCAAAAGTTTTTTGGGTTTAAGGAAAGGGGTCCCGGAGGGGGAGGGA